ACCTCATGTGAAAACGAAAGTGGCGTCAATATTATTAGTGGCGAATTTAAAATCTTAGCGCGCGCGGGAAAAAATATCAATTAGCCAATCGTATTGCTCTAAATTTTTCCTATGAGCTGATTGGTTAAAATAGAAGTTGTCCCTCAGGAAAATTCGATAGGCGTACCATTCCGTCGTTCCCTGTAAGCATGCAACGAAACGCATACTTGGTACAAGTTTGCTCTTGCTTGACGACAATTCCACCGTCCTTTTTTGCGCTGTAGTCTTGCAATATTTTTCAGATACCTTGAGCCCACGACAGATTGCAAAAACGTGGGAATTCGTCGAGCCATGACATTTTCACTTGTCGGAAGTATTAACTACATGAACTTTTGGACACAGGAACACCCAGCTCTTTATCGTAAGGCGAGAGGAAGAGGGCAAACTTCTCGACGATTACAGTACAAAACTTTGACCAGTGGGATCCATAATGACACTTGTCTTAACGCAGTCGATTTCAACGCTCCCTGACTCGAGGAATTTGAGAAACAACTTTTCATGCCCCACACCCCCTTGTGTGCACAGTCGACTGAGGATGTATACGATCCTCACTGTTCGTGGAGTTATTTTGCTGTAAACTCTTTGTGTGATATAAAATATACAGGCTTTCGATGGTTTTGTATTTAGAATTTATACTGTATCTACAATTTTGGTCAGACCTTGTGCGTTATGTATGGATAATCTGGCGGGTGCGACATATCCGTCAGACATTGTTCTGTTTGGATAAAAAGAATACGTTATTTCAGCTTCCATCCAAGAAGTAGAAGGGATACCCCCTACTTACATTGGTCCGCCAGGTTTCCATTTTGGGCGTGAATCCATGAAAAATAAGGGTACCAGTCATTGCAATTCGCCCAGAGTTCAATCCCCGTCCAGGTCATAATGCAAACAATTATTTCCCCTAAGTCAAACCTGCAACTACAAAGCATTTATGCTTTCCTACGTCTCACATCACGAAGCAGCTTCACATAGGAGCTGGTGAAACCCCGATAGGCTGCTTCAAACTGCTGGTAGGATTGATACTTGCTGAAAGCCATCGCCAAGGTAAACGCTCAGAGTACTTCTTCCGATCCATTCGTATCATCTCTTTCGTTTAGTTCTTCAGTGAACAAACCAAGCCGATGGATGGGTCGGCCACGAACCACTGCTGCCAGGCCTCGGTTCCAGAACGTGCCGTTGGAATGGCCTTCTAGACAACGAACTCTTCCATCGAACTCTGCTTGGTCACCACCGTGGCCAGATGCCTTGCGACTGGCAGTTGCCGCAAGTTTGGCCAACGTTCTCCCAAGGTCGTCAACGGTGAAGGTCAAATCGACCGTGGTTGTCACGTCCGATTGCCACGGCACTAGACTTTCACCGTGACCGGTACGAAGGAGACTCCGTGGGTCAATCTCGTTGCTGATGCTCTGAATGATCAGGTACTCACAGCATGTCTTGGCATCAGCCCAACGACACCATGCCATCAACTCCCTAAAGTTGAACCGGCACTCCTTCGACACAAATACAAGGTAGAACGATCCACCTCGACGCAGACTGTGCAAAGATTTGCCAATAGGGAGATCTAGAGTTCTTTCGACAGTATCACCAAGTGTCTTGCGCACACTGTTTTGGTCGAGGGGGTGGCTCCAGTCGATCCGAGGGATACCCGTCTTCGTTGCGGCATATTTTGGGAAGACAAAGATACTCGTCGCCATGTTCTGCCCGGACGTTCTGATCTTCAAAATGTACTCTTCGTAGAACAAGCACGCGCGCAAGCACGGAAAGGACATCTCGTCGACGAGATGATACACTTGCGAGTCCTCTTCTACGCTCGCCTTCTTGTGCCAACGTAAGCGCACGGAGAGGTATCGTCCATTGCTGTCCGTGACGAGTTGAACGTCGTTCCAACGTAGTGCCAGGACTTCGCTCATGCGAAAGCATCCAACAAAGCCAACAGCCAAGAGGAGCCGCAGCATGGCACCAAGAAAGGGATGCAGACATGCAAAGATGTTCATGAGCGTGGACAGCTCTTGCACGGTAAGGGGATGCGGCTTCTTTTCGTCGACATTGTTCTGTTTGTTGTACTTCTGTAGCCCCACGATATAGCGCCTTGTCGCCGGGTCCTGGGCCGGGTTTGGAACCACACCAAGTTTGTTGAAGTACGTCACAAGGGACGACTTTGCCTGGTCTATGGTACGGTCCTGGGAGTAGAGGTGGTGGAAAAAGTCGGTCAACTCTTCAGTTCCGGCAGAGCACGGGTCGATACCATCCTTCTGCAGTCGCAGAAAGGACTCGAACTGCTTTTGATACGTTTTGTACGCGCTTCAGGTGTTGGTACCAAGGAAAGACTCCTCAAAAGTCGTCTTCGACGGCACCGTCGCCTTCTGTGTTGACGGCATGCTCAGATCTGGTAATTTCAAAACTGCCTAATTTTCATTTCGTATTTGCCAATCCAATTGTGTTATCACTGTATGTTCGTGATATGTTGGTAAACGACAATTTAAACGGCCAATCCGATGCTGCAAAATATCACTTTCCAATCAAAACGATATTTGATGTCGGTCATCCAATGTCCTGGCGAGAATGTGTCGGTTTAATGTCGGTTGCCATGTACATGTGGATGATATGTTGATGAAGGACATTGCCATCGCCCAATCCAATTGTGTGAATATATATTTCATCCAATCATTGCGCTTCCTGTTGTCTGTCGTCCAATCCTTTGGTCAAAATTTGTCGGTTTGATGTCGGATGCCATGTACTACTTACTGTACATGTCTGCATGTTGCAGTTGTCTTCGTATTTGTATGCCAATCTACGATAAATTACATCAAACTCCGACCGCAAACGGATGTAACAGTGGAGATTTATCGTCGAGCAGCGTCGAATGGAACTCCACTAAGCCTAATTGATTGGCTATTAATACTGCTTTTCTTTCCTGTCTCAAAACTCCCCTAAGACTATTTGATTGGCTATAAATACTGCTTTTCTTTACAGACAGGAAAGAGGATTTCACATACAAAGAGAACGTTTCAAAACTTTTTAAAACGAGTGATTTAAAATACTTTTGTGCTATATGGAATCCAACAAGGAGAATTGCCGCGGTGCGTAATGTTCGGGTTTGGTAAGCCGGAGAAGACGCCTCGTGAGCGAGCGAAGGAAGCGAAGCGCGGTATCGCACAGAGCCAACGAGAGCTCGAGCGGGAGAAAATGGCCTTGGAGCGACAGGAGAAGCAACTGATTGCAGACATCAAGAAAGCAGCAAAGGAAGGCAACACTGGCGGGACAAAGATTCTCGCTAAGCAGTTGATTCAGTTGCGACAGCAGAAGGACAAGATGACCATGTTGAAAAGCAACTTGGGTAGTATCGGGCTACAAACCACGGTCAGTAACCCTGCGTCTCTCCTTTGAAGACCCAATTCATGAACGTTAGTTATACAGTCCATGGCGGCCCAAATGACAATGGTTGCAGCCATAGAAAAGACCACAAAGGTATCAATGTCCTCGTCATGACCTCACAATTTTTCACGCGCTGTCAGACTATGGCGAGCACAAGCAAGCAAATGGATATGAACCGCTTCCAGAAAGTCATCATGGACTTTGAAAAGCAGAGCGAAATGATGGGCATGCGGGAAGAAATGCTCGACGACACCTTGATTGATGCCGTACGCATATCATTTTCCTTCTGTCTCTCATGGAATCGCTACCTAGTTCGATGACGAAGAGGTCGAAGCCGAAGGCGACGCCGTCGTCGACCAAGTGCTAACAGAAATTGGGCTCGACTTGGGGTCCCTCATGGCTGATGCACCAACCCGCCAGGCAAATGCCACAGCCGCCATGGATGCCCTTCTTCCAGACGTAACGTTGCTGCCCACTCCTACCAAAGTCACTGCCGCATCGCTGCAGTAATCCACATTCACACGCTCCTTCACAACCACAACATGACATCAGTTGCGAATATGTGCAGAGCGCTCAACACCCCGCCATTCAGTATCGGTCCTGCGATTGCATTACCCCCTCTTATGCTTCAGTCATAGTGGTCGCAGATAATCTCGACAGTACTTGAAGCCCTGGGGCCGCTGGGCGGGCCATCCACACAGCGAGATCAACGTCCTCGTCATCTGGCACCTTTGTGATGGAGATCGACACGGATAAATACGGCGGGTATGGCTGCGACTCCTACAATTCAGCGTAGAGCGGATGAGTGAGTATATCATGCATCGACTACCGAGTTTCCATGCGCATTACCAGCAACGCGTCAGCGTGAATGTTAAACGTGCCGTCGATCGTGTGGCAAGATTGCAATTCGGTCAGATCGATGTCGACCGTCCGTTTTGACGACGACGCTGGCGTTGACGAAGCATGTGTGAGGTGCACGGTGCAAACGCCACGTGAACTGCCGTAAAATGCCTGCATCGCATCCAGGGCTCCCCGTACGTAGATGTGGTGCGTACTGTCAAACACGATATCGGAATCTTGGCTGGGGTTCGCTCCATGGCCTCGTCGAATGGACTCGTACTCCATTTGCGCGACCTGGGAGTGGTCGTTGTTGCCAAGCGAGATCTGCTGAGTCGCGACGTGTACCTACGCAATATGTTTGGCGCGCTCCGATGGGTTGGGCTCTATACCTCCTCCAGAAAACCAAGCGTGGCGGTCCACCCGGTGTGGCCTTCACTGGGGTGCCAGTTGTGCGTGCGATGAAGCATCACTGTGATGCACCAAGTCGGTGGGGTCGGCAGTGCTGGTCCTTTGGTTGATTTTCTGATTGTTCCGGACGATTGCCGTCGTTGTGACAGCAAGGCGTCGTCGTCATCGCCACCATTTTCGTCGTGTGGGGATGGTATAATGCCTTCCAAGAGCTCCTCATTTTCTTGCTCACAATCTCCTTCGTCCGTGCCTTCGCCTTGCTGAGATGGATGTCGTCGGTGCAGCGGGACGACGGCGTCCGTTTGGCGATTCTGACGGCACGATGCTTCTTCAATCAACTCCTCGAGCTCGTTGGGCTCACGAAGCGATGTAACGGTGCTGTTGCGACCGCCACCGTGTTGACGGTACCGGTCGCAGTGGGCCTTTGGCACCGTCAAATTTGCGTCTTCGGTGACGGCGTTCATGTTATCGACCCATTCCGAGCACAGCTTGTCAGTGGCCACGTACGACGCATCTGGCACAAACACGCCCAAGTATTGCCGGAGGTTGTACTTGGCCGTAATGTGCTTGGAGTTAACGACTCGGATGCGCTCGAACCCAACATTCGCCTTTAAGTTGAAGAGCTCGCCGGAGCTCATGCTCGTGTACACGTCTGTCTTGGAGACGTAAGCACTTCGAAACTGGTAGAGTTGGATCTTGGTTGACCCAAGGAGGACCGAGTACGATCCCGGGGCTTCAAACATGGCTGCATCGCGCTTCTTCACACCTCTCCTAGGTGGTCGACCGGTGGAAAGCGAGGATGTTGGAGGGGGTGGTTGTTGCTGTTGATGGCCCCTCCGCGGGTCAATGTCGACGGTGTGGGGGTCTGTGCACCGAATGAGCTGTATCGTGATCGTGCCTTCGTCCGCCAGGTACGAGCCAAGACCAGAAGACTCGCGCAACTTTGACGCGAGGGGGGTTTTCGGCGCGAAGAAGTGAAAGCATCGCATGAGGTTGAGCGGGATCCAGTAGCATGTGGTAGAAGTCGAGCCGCCATGAGTGGACGTTGACGCCAGCATGGTATGGGCATCGAGAGGTACAAAGCAGTCGAAACCCAGAACGGCAAAGCGAAGGTACAGTCGAGACCGCTTTGGTCGCGTGGGGTCAATGAGTTGTTGGCTTTCGCTGTCGAACAATTCCTTCGGGATGTCGTATAGCGCCGTGAAGAAGAGCATGAGCCTGCACAGCGTAAACTCGGTGGGAACTTGAGTTAGCATCGGCTGCGACCGTGCCACATTGGCTTCGTGAGTGATGGTGACGGCGCCATTGCTACCACTGGCGCACTCTCCTTTGCGAGATGCCATTGGGGCCATTGTCTCCCTCGTGGGGCACCCCAGATACGCCGTGAACTTGGCCTCGACCTTGAGCAATGCCTGGTCGCGCTCATACAGCGCATAGCACAAGTTACACACGTTCCACGTTTGGTAGAGCAAGCCGCTGTCCAGGTCGTCCTTGGGATGTCCGAGAAATGCCAGGTTCGCGTCGATGGCGGACCGGAGCCGGATCCGGGCAATGGTTTCATACATCATTTTCATCGTCATTTTGTACGCGACTTCGTGCTGGAGGTATAGCACTTGGCACAACTTGCACGGCACCATCTTGTGCACTTTCCACCCGTCGGGATCTGGCGCTGATGCGTGCTGGTTGGGTTTTGTCGCGACGGGGGCGTCGTCATCCAGATCGTCTTGGACAGTTGACCGATCGTAGGCATCGCCGAGCTTTGACGAGAGTGATGTCGGCCGCATGCTCTTGAGCCGAAAGCATTTGACTTGGATGAGCCACCACTGCCCCATGTCGTCCTTGATGTAGTCTGCCACGACGCTTTCAAACGCCAACCGCAGCGACGCTTCCACATACTTGAGCATCTGGGCACACACCGATTGAGTTCAACACACGACGGAGCTGTGCCGATCATGTACCCGCACATGCACCTCCATGAGGTCGGCAACCGCCCGCTCTGTGAGTTTAGCAAACGAGCAGCTCTCGTTAAGTGCCGTGAGGGTACAGAACCGATTGAGGCACGGCAAGTTGGGCGCGTCGAACGGCACCTTGTTAGTGATAGTCCATCCGAACGCTGGCCGGCCAGCTTTGTACACAGCGCGCACGACGAACGCCTTCGGACCCTTGGGCTTGACGTACTTTTGCAGGGCAAACGTGACTGGACTCCCGATCGCCTTGGTGAGAGCGCTCTTGAGCTCCAATGTGTTGTACAGCTTGATATGGTTCCCCCCGGCCGTCGTCGTGACCCCCGTCGACATTTTGACGACTTGAGGCTCTTTGAACACCACGACTGGGTCGTTTTCGAATCGTCGGTTCCCAAGCTTTTCCATGACATGCGCGTCTTGAAAGTTGATCACCTGGCATGAACGTCACGTTTCAGTGCAATTTGGAGACGTTTCCAGTGCCACAACCTTTCGAATGTACCCGTTCTGATCGCTATAGAGCCACACGGGGGGGAAATTCGCCCCAAACACTATCGTATCGGGCAACCAACACTTGAGTTGCAGTTTGGGATGGCCGACGGACCGAAGCGGGATATGGCAAGTGGTGTCGTCAGGCCGTTCTGTCGGCAGAGCGTCCTTGTCTTGTTCGCCACCAACATCCGCGACCGACGCCAGGTACTTGTAAAAGTAAACCCCTGGAAGAAAGCTTTCGGTGTACGTGTAGTTCATATCCACCTGTGACGCCTCGTTGCGCTGCGCTTGATATCGCGAGTGCACTTTGGCCGCCTTGGCGTGCTGCAACGCCGCTAAGAGCTTTCGATTCGAGACGAGGTCATTGATCTCAGAGCTTATGGCTGTGGATGAATCGTGGGTCAATATCGCTTCTGATGACGGTCCATCTGGATTAAGCAGCCGTCGAGGCAGCGGTCCCCTCGATCGCCGCCGCATATCCGCGCGCGGTTTCAAGTCGAAGAAACGCCTTTCTGGCGAAACAGTGTTGTTCAAAATACACCTCCTGGCTAAATTAATCCGTCAAAATACATGGAGCTTGGTGATTGGGCAATTTGAATAGGCGTTTCGAGGTTCTCCAACCGTAACGGCGTCTCCACTAAGGCCGCCGCCACGTTGACCTTGACACGGCACACCCATGGAAGCCAGAATCGTGGCGCTGCAGCGCCAATCGCTAAAGCAGAACGCGGTCCGGCATTCTTTTTCCAGCGCCATCGCGTCTCGGTTCTTTGTCGATGGCAGCTTGGCAAGGCGGCAACGCATCATCGAAAGTGTCAAGCGTCGACAAGCTCGTCTACGGGAGAAATCACGGGTCGAGCAAATCAAGGGCGAGTGGTTACGCCGAACGTTTGAAGAGAAGAAGGAACTTGAGGAGAAGAAGCGGGGAAGGGATCTCGACCGGTCGAGGAGACGGCAGCAAAACCTCAGTGCTACTCGAATTCAGAAAATATGGCGGAAATCGTACCACGAACGGTTGTACTGGCAGCTCATCAATCACGCCGCAGCCCTCATCCAGGTGGCTATGAGGGACTTTATGCTTCAGCAGCACGCCAAACGGTTCCGGTGCACCTTGGTTTTGCAGAGGTGGTGGCGGCTCGTGACCTTTCGCCGGCAACGTCGTGCCGCTCAAGTCTGCATCGCCCTTTGCATTCATGGGTACGCGCTACGGCGTCGTGGACGACGATTTCGCCTTCAGGAAGCGGCGACTTTGATCATCCAGCGAGCGTGGACCACGTACTGGGCTGGCATTAGAGCAGCGGCGGCTTCCACGATTCAACGGTGTGCACGACTTCGACAACGCAAGCGACAAATCAAACGTCTGGCCAGTATTCACCAACACCTTCGACTGATCGAACGGATGGACGCTAGCGCCAGAATCCTTCAGCGCAACCTGGCACATCGAGCAGTCAAGATTAGGCTCCTGTGCGATGAGGTGTTCCAGAAGCTTCTCAGTACAATGAAAACACCTAGCGTGAAGATCATTGAACTGGACGACGTGCCGCATGAAGGTCTCGCCAATGCCGTGGCAGAAGAAGCAAAGTTGGTGCGACAAAGGGACACGTTGACGCGGGAGATTGACGAGCTCCGACGAACGCGCGTGCCCATGGCCATGCAACAGCGCAATGACGAACGTGAGAGTTTGCGACGCCTTAGAGTTCTCGAGAGCCATCGCGTGGCGAAGGAGAAAGAGCGGGAGGCCGAGAGACTCCGGGAAGTGGAGGAACAGACCAAGCGCGTGATTCGATGGGAGATGGAGAAACAGTTTGACCACCAGCGGCGATTCAAGATGAAGAAAGTCAAGCAACACGGCGACAACTCGACAACCTCGTCTGGTACGACCGAGGCGGGGTTTGGGCGATTAGATTCGCGCGTCGAAGTCGAGTAACCCTCGGGGCCGTCACACCTAAATTATTCAACGGAGTTGGCCAAATTGTTTGCTTGTATCGAGTATGACATGTAGAAAATACTGGCGTGAAATTGTTGTTGTAGCAATGTGGATCAATCACGTACACCGCATACGTCAGTCATAATCATTGCTGAAGCAACTCGGAAGGAATTATTAGTTCTATCCTAATCGAACAGCATTATTTCTTTGGGCTTGGTCTGGTCTTTGGTTTCCATGATGCAGATCTCATTACCAGGGGCATGAGACGCGCGTTTTCTCTGAACGACGTAAAACACGGCGGCCCCAATAAGCACGACGACCCCAGACCCGATCAAGATCCAGTTGGTGAGGCTCAGGCCAGCATACAACGACGACGTTGTTGTGGCTGTTGTGGTGGGAACGACCACAGGCTTGGGCTCAGGCGTGCGTTTGAATTCAAGGCATCCGCCGGTGGTGAAGTTTGCGAGATAAGTCTTCTTGGTGGCTGGGTTGTAGCAGCACTCGTCCATGGCACCTGGGCCCATGTAGTGGAGGAAGCCGTCGCAGCAATCCCACCGATCCTGGGGAATGTAACACAGACCTGCAGTGCCCGCGCTGTTGACGCACAAGAGCTCGTTTGGTTTACATTGAGACGGCATGGATGCTGCGACGGCAGCAGACACTACGACAATGACGGCAAGGAATGGCGACGTCCACGCCATGGAGACTTGGACTTCCAGGAATGCCTTCACCGGCCACAGTCTGGCCGGTGAATGCAACTTGCGAGGACAATAAACGCACCCACGTTTCTCTATACGCACCATTTAACACCCATGCTCCATACAAAAACTAGTATTAATTCAGCGTTTTGAAAAATGCTATTGGTTGTTCAGGTGCTTGGTGCAATTCATCCAAGTGACAGCATTCCCTAAAATAAGTTTGAATTACTGCTTCATATCCTCAAGGCACGTGGGTGAATTCACGGCTCTTCTTGAGTTCGTGAGGCTCCAGCGCAGCATTCTTCGCATTCAAAGTGGCCACATGCCTGTTCTTGTCTGTCTTCTGACACAAGAGCGCTTGCCACGAGCACTCGCGCAGTCAGATATCGAGGGTCATTGGAACAGTACCAGGTGTTGGTGTGACACAAGGAACCTCCGCAAAATGTTCGACCAATTGTGTCTGTCGTGGCAATTAAAACTTCCCACGAATTGTATACGTACGTGCCATGTTTTCAAAACTTCAAAACGGGTCATTCTTATGAGTGGGCGTGATGAACCTGCATTTGTGTGGTAGATGTAATGCAACGGGGGGCTCTTCCGCGGCTCGTCGCTTTGTACTGCGGATTGACCGTGAATGTGAATTAGAACATTCACGCCGTTTTGGCTGTTTTGGGGCGAGTGATTTTTGGGATGCACGTTGACAATGTGCGGAAGGATGGTAAGCCCAGTACTACTACCCTACTACGGGTAGTAGTACTATGTTCCCCTGTTATCCGGACACCATTATCCGTATTGCCTTGCTCACTCACGGAAGAAATGGGACGATGGCGCAATGCAGCGTGGGGTTTGGCGGTGGTGGCCGTGGTGATCTTTAGCGCCATGAGCACCAATATGAAGACAGAACAACAGCAAAATCGAGTGCAGAAAGTAATGGACCGCGTTCGCGCCATGCAGAAGGAGATTCAATTGCTGCCTTTGAACATGACAATCGTGGACGAGCTGCGGGCCAAGCAGGTGACGTGGCGCAACAACTGGACGGCCCTACTCCTGCTTGAAGAGGCGCATCAACAGCAAATCTCATCGCACTGGAAACACATGAAAGAGTCCATGCTCGCGAATGCTGCGGCGAAGCAAGACGACGTCAACGTGTTGCGGGAGAGAGAACGTGAGTTGATGGAGCACTTACGTCAGTGGAAGACAGTACAACACGAGATCAACGCGACGTCGATGAAAATCTTGTCCATAAAGGCGGAGATTGCTCGTCGACAAGAGGAGAAGGCAGCGTTACGGAAGGATGCAATCGCTAAGGGCCTAGCATCTCTTCAACGACAAGCGGACCAGGACGAGGCGCGCCGTATTTTGAACGACGAAGCGATTGCAGCTCGAGACGCTGCATGGTTTCGACGTCGAGTGCTGACGTCGACGGCGGTTGCAGGGGGCATCCTTGCGTTCGGGACGGTGGTCGTCACGTTCCGTGCACGTTGGTCGCACCACGAATCGTCCCGTCGGCCGTCGAAACTCGAGTGAAACCACAGGGCGAAATGAGCCAGATGTGGTCGAATAAATTAGGAAAACAGGGGTCACAAATCGATGTGAGAGGTGGGGCGACCGATGACGTAGAGGAGATCTTTTGCGTGGAGCTTCATCTCGGTCTTTGGGTTCGTGTGCACGTAAGCGGGGGTGACTTTGGAAGCATTGGATGCGACTACTTCGGGGTGCCAGCACCCGATACAGATCAAGTTCTGCAGCCGCGACATGGTCAGCAGCCTGCATCCTTGAAACGCATGTGACGTACGTGGCGCAGGAGTTTCCGAAAGCTTTCGCCAAACATTTTGCCCACAAGACCTTTCGGGCACGGCACTTGAAATAGTTGAAGGCTACGACAACGTCGTCAGCAAGCGGGCTTGTTGATTTGAAATAGAGACAGAAGGTCGTACTCGTTGTCAGGCTCCTGGCCGTGCAAGAGCGCGTCGATGATCACAGGCAGTGTGGGCTTTTGATAACATTCGCTCATGAGCGACTCGATCAAGCCGTTCACTGCCACACGTCCTAACAGTCATTGGGTTACGTGTGCGAGGTCAGGGTCGGTGTCGCACCCGAGGCATATGCAGGCTCGCAGATGTGGTTCATATCCAGCACGTCGTCCGATTCGTTCGTCGCGAATTCCATGTCCGAGTACGCGCCGTCATCAACTCCTGGTTGGTGGTCGGTCACACGGCGGTCCCGTCGGCTCTCGCGCTTCACAGCCATGCTGAGGAATCGCACGTTCGTGTGTTTGGCGAGGTCAACAATCAGGTTGGGCGGGTGCTTGTGGTGCCGGCTGCACCCTTCCAAGATGAACCGCACGCACGTGATGGCGTCGGCGTCCACCATGTTTTTGTCGAAGAATTCGACCGTGGACGGCGAGTTGCACGTGCCCGACGTCGACTACGCGACAATCCGGGCCGGTCAGAGCGGTGGCAACCCGATCCACGTACCAGCACGATCACGGACGCCGCAGACGTAATGCTCACGCGCTGCAAATCAAAAGAGCTCAGGGGCGACCCCAACGCAAAGTACGTGCGATCAGGGTGCGTGAGCCGCTCGAAATCGGCGATCGACATCTTTGTCGGGGCAAAAATCACAACAATCTAACGTCCACGACAGCGGAAGTTACTCGAGGCACGTGCTCAACGCGTCAGCCTACCTGAGACGTCGATTTGGCGCGCAGCGGGCCGAGGAGGTCCTGCAGTTCGTACGGGAGCCCAACAATAACGATGTGCCGGCTCAGCACGGATGGCACTTCCTTTGCCTAGCTTGCCACGTCAACCGCTGCGGCGTGACCAGCCGTGTCGTACCATGAACTGATCGTACGCCACCTTGAGGTCGGACCCGGCCACGTCATCCGTTTTGGACTTGAACATGTGCCCGCCCAGCGTAAGTTTCTTCGTTTGCCGCTTGGGGCTCTGCACAGGCTTGACTCTGTCGCTGTCTTCGGCGTCGGCCTTGGCACGCTCCATTTTGCGCAACGTCTGTCGGAATTGCCGGATTTGCTCGAGCTGGTACTCGTTGATGCGGTCGACAACCTCGACGCCCGGCGCGATGACGTACACGGTGCAGCAAAGTTTGGGATCGGCGGCCTGGCCGAGCTTGAACGACATCGGGTTCAGCTGAATCGAGTTCGTGCCCTGTGTACAAGTCGTCGTGACCGCTCAAGACGTTTGGCTAACGGCGTTGTGGCCGTACCGTTTCCATCGCAATGGGAATCACTTGAAGGTTGTTGTACAGGAACATGACGAGTTCGTGGTACGTGATGCCAGAGAAGGACCGCGGGATGTCGACGCGAAAGATCTTGCTCATGGCGCCTACAACGAAACAGAGTGACCGCCGCCGGACGACTGCATTCGAGGAACACACCTTCGAGATAGTCTGTCATCCACGCGTCCTTGGGCGGTTTGAGGGGCGGCGCCAGCGTCGACAGCAAGTTTGTGAGGAGCGTCGTGAGTCCCTTGATTCGACAGCTGAGCGCGAGCATGCTCATCTTGAGCTTTTGCACGCAAACCACGTTGTTGGCGCCAGAGATTGTGCAGTACGACACCGACGTCGACGCAATCACTTGGGTGAAGATGGGCACCGTCTTGTTCATGACGCGGAACGCAGTCGTGAGAATGGCCGACATTTGGTCAGCACGCCCAGTCTTGTCCCCGGATGCGGACGTGAGGACGTAGCAGACAGAGCTCGTGGGGACGGCGGCGCGTTTGAGGTCCGACTCTTGCATGGCCGACCCGACGATGTAAGTGACGCGGGGCTCGAACTGGTGGATGATCTTGGTCACGTCGGGGGTTGGTTCTTGGGGATGGAGGATCACAATCTATGGCGAAAAGAAGTGGCGCGCGTCACGAGCAAGCGGAGGTCAAGTCTACCATGCATGGCACGCACCCGTTCGTTCCAGTTGCGATTCTGCGGGTGAAAGAACTGTCGGAGAAACGCATGCAGCATACCAACGTCGAGCTCGTGGGCTGTGATGACGCCGTGCGTGTCGCTGCGTGAAGTAAATGCCTTGTTGTACTTGGAGTGCTGCGAAATGACCGACACGAGCGTGTTGACTTGGATCGGAAGAAAGACAAACGTCATCATGATCAAGATGGACGTGCCGATGCGGCCGGCCGACGTTTTGGGCGAAATGTCGCCGTACCCGAGGGTCGATATCGTGACCTGTCCATGCACAATGACTCGAGATGCCCTGCTCTATTTGGCCGGTCGTACCACGACAAAGTAGATCCAGTCGAGAAATCGGTACACTTGACACCGACAGCAGTTGGTCGGAGGGTGGGGACTCGCGAGCGTGTAGTTGACAAAGCTCGTGCACCACGTGGTCAAATTTGTATTGGGAAACGTGATCTCGATCTCGGAGCACGTCAACACATCGTCGCGGTAGTGGGGAATGCAAAAGTCGGGACATTGCGCGGGACACAGTTCGACGTTTTGTAGGGCGCCCGCGACCGCAATGATCATGCAGAGCACCGTGAGCACGGTGGCAAGGATCTGGCGCTGGACGATGGACGACGTGAAGCGCAGGAGGCGGTACGCCCGCAGCACGCGCATCGATTTCATCACTTGGAGCATCGAGAGGAACTGTCGACCGGCAGTGTCGAGCTTGAGCATGGTCAGGGTGTGCTGTGTAAACGATATTTCAATCCAGGCGGATGCAACGCCAATCAAGTCCACGAGAGAAAACACGCTCGTGATGTACTCGAGTCGAAGCGGGGCGGCGTACACGCGAACGATGTAACTACAACGCGGCAAGCATGAATCGGTTGTGCCCCAGGGAGGAAATGGTATCGGCTTACTCGGCGGTGAAGAGAATCCCGATCACGTTGCTTGCACCTGGAACGCTACGTTAGAAAGATGACATGGTGTGGCGAACGCACTCTGCACAGATGGCTCCAAGTCGATGCTGTACGTGCTCCAGTTTGTGTAGAGAAAAAACGCCACCATGACGAAGCTCAGAACGACCATGAGGGCATCGGCCGCACGCATGAGTGGCGACAGCTCGAGGTTCCGAGCGACCCATAGCTGGAAAGTTTCGCCGTTCTGCCGTGGGAGGAGCAGCGACGTTGTCGCACGAGGGTCCAGTACAAGTGGGTCATCGACTTTTACTTTGTATGTGTTGAACGAGCCTCGAAACGTCTTTCCATACCGCCGCTTGCCATCCTGAAGGACGGACTTGGCTGAGGCCGGCATCGGGCTCGCTTTGGGGGGGGCGAAGGGTGCGCCGCCGTGTCGTTTCGGTTGTGGCAGTTGTGCTTTGGGATGTAACGCTTGAAACGAATCGTTACACCTTGTGGAAATCGACATGACTCGGGCCATCATTCAAACGACCGCCGCTGTCAGCGCAGCTGACACCAGTCAACGGGAATGCTCCACACGATGAGACGGGGTCAACGGCTGGGTCGGAACAATGCAGGATTTGATCCGTGTCGGGGGCGGGATGAGATCGTTGCTAGTCGTAAAGAGCATGTTGTGAACGCAATGGTGTGAATATCAACAGCAAGTTCGACGGTGCTGTACAACAAAGGGGCGAGACGGCGCATGGTGCGGCAGCCTACTGATATATTCAAACAACAGTCGTTGCCCCGTGGCATGGTGTGTGTGTCCTGCAATGGTGGGCTTACCTCATGTTTCAAAACTTCGATAGAAAACTCCAAATAGACTCGCCACCCTACTGTAGACCCGACACCCTGGTGTCAATCAGCCTCAAGTGCTGCCGACGCGTTGTGCATAACTGCATTGCCGAAAGAGTTCACGTTTCCGTCGACGCGAGTGGTGACTTTGTCGTTTCAAGGCTGATGAAGAGCACAACTTTCGTTTTCTTCCACATGACAATGGTGATTGTACAAGGACCTGCACGGGCAATGCCCGCGTTCCGGCGAAGGCGGCCATCGACCACGGACACGAAATGGTGGCCAATGCGGTACAAGAGCAAAACTGTCTACTCAACAGACAGCACTTTCGGTCCTTCGTGCATCTCGACCGCGCTTCCTGAATCAATATGTCAAACGGTCGCAACTCATCATAATGCCACTTGAACTATTCAATTTACAAACGTCCGACCGATGTCACATCCTGTAAGGAAGGCGCGTCGAAAGACCGACCTGAAAGATTGGAAAGCTGTCGGAGGTTCCACAAGCTGCCGCTGTCTGTGGCAATGACGCAGAGACTGTGGGGGTGTGGACCCATCCCACGGCTCCCACCTTAAGGTCGACGTGGCATTGCTTAAGATGGCCCATCGAGGGCGGCCGATCTCGTATACGAACCCGTCCCTCCCTGCCGACGACTTTGCGATGGTCGAGTCGCTTGGCCAGTCAATCTGTGACGATACGGGGAATCTTGGGATGGCAGCACGATGCGTCGCGTCGTGGCGACCGTCAGACACGACAAGAAGAATCGGACGGCATCGGGGAGGTTTTCAACAGGAGAGTGTCATGGTCCTAGGGCAAAGCCGACGAGCGGCAGCATGTAGAGCGATTCGCTACAACCTGGTAAAGCTACAAGTCCACCGCGTACGTGCACACTTGGACTATTGCCACGACGATAGATCCAAAACGCGGAAGAGTATTTGCGCACGAACCCTCTTGGACCACTTTAACCAACGGATTTCTAATTCAAGTCGAGATAATGGCCAACACTGCGTGGTGCATCCAATGCCAGGCCCAACTGTTTTCCCGGCGGACAGATACGACGCACTGCAACGACAACAGCGCCATCGTGTGTGCAAATTCATGCGGGAACGAGGGGCCGCTGCCTTTCTGGCCCATCACGTCAACTATTTCTCTGTCTTTCGAGTTTTGGCGAACTGCGTACGTTCATCTAACATCTCGATCGAGTATGCCTTCGCAGTTTCGATGGTTTCACACCACCGGCCGTAGTTCCAATGCACGGGCGGTCCGCTTGTATCGGCGAGGTCAATCTCGACAATGTATCGCAGCAACTGCAGCACCGATTGCTGCTTGAATCTTTCCAACACCGCGTTCTCTTTTAGAACGACGGAGACGGCCACCTCCACGAAGTGCGCCATAAGAGTCGCATGGATGTGGATATCGGAACTCCTCGAAGACGAGTCGAACCGAGCCTGTCACGCTCATCGCCGGCACGGACCCTTTGAGTTGTGCTCGAACGACCTCATTGCGATCTTTGGAAGAGTTGTGTCCATTTGTACATGCAAGCCGATGTAGGATATACGACGCCTTTTACCACAACATAGTAGTCGTTCGAGGTTTTTAGTTGTTACTGGGGGGTGCAAGCTTATCGAACGTGCAAAACTGCGTCTGGGCAACCAAACTTCGCTTTATACTTGTGGAAAATGCGCTCGAGCTCGTCGACGTATTGCTTATGCACCGCGTCGATGTCGTCCTGCGTCGGGTGCTCTGTTTTGGTCGTGGGAATCGGGTTCCCAAACACGTGGTGGTACTCGACGTCGTACGGGTAGATGGGGCACCACCAGTACGGACCCCAGCATATTGGCAAGGCGACGCTGAATCGCTTGGCGACCCATTGTCGAAATGGGAGCATGACCCTACTCCAAGTTGAGAAGGACGACCAGCCAAATACAAGATGGAAACGCACGTGGATATCTCAAACATGTCTGTCTCGCCAAAACAGTAGACTGGGACGACGGGAATGCCGTGTTGAATGGCGAGTTTGCAATGGCCTGGTGCGCGAACGCGGTGAGCTCGACGATTTTGGGCAGGCATGACGCTCTTAATGAGTTCGTACCTTTACGCTGTTTGACGTAAATCAAATGCTCGCCGCGCTTGGCCATCATTTGCTCGATCACGCCACCAACGAGAATGACGAGGGTCTTGCCTGACTGGAGCACTGCGTTTGCAACTTGCTTCGATGCATCCACGACGCCAAAGTACAACATGAACTCGCGCCATAGCGGGATGCGGAACACAATAGACGCGCCCAAATGGCGCCGCTTGTCGCCAGGCACAAAGTCGCTGAAGGCAGGTGATGACGAATTCGCGAGCAGCACGCCGTGGTGCCACGACGCAATGCCATGCGGGTGGACTGCAAACAAGTACTGCGTGCCTTTTACCAGAGGCGCTTCAAAGTGCAACTCGGCTTTCTTGACGAACGGTGACAGCCATCGCCAATCACGCGTGGCAAACCACGGCCAGTACCGGCCATCCGGTGACATCGGACATGGCTCTAGATACGACGGAATGTACGACAGAAGCAAGGCGAAGAGGAAGGCCTGCCAAATCGGCAAACTCGTTTGCTGAATGAAGTAGGCAGTTGCCGCCACAAAAACACTCACGGCCGCCACGTACACGGCCACTGACATGCCGATCACAAATCTGGGTTCGCAGTTGAATGTGATCATCAAACTCCAGAACGTATGCAAGATTATGAAAATATTCCGAAAATATATCTAAAATAACCAATGAATTCACGTGCATTCAGGGATTTTACGATGGCATCTTATCATCTCGTTATGAACAGTTAGTTGATGGAAAATCGATCGAAAGAAACATTTCATTGGGAGGCTACGACCTCTCCAACGAGTTTGAATGAAGCCGCAGGTTGATTCCATGGGTCGCTACAAGTAGCGCCGTGATGGTGGAGCGATTTACACGCTCAACAGATAAAATCTACAGGGAACGACGAAAAAGTGCACAATGATACAACCATCTTATCTTGAAATTTGTATTGGAAGTATATTACTCGGAGGAATTCGAGATGGTTTTTTGTCGTACACTACACGTCACACAAACAAACCCACCCATCCACATTTTCTAGTGCATTTTTTAACAATAAATCATCTAGCAGCATGAAAGGACTCAAATAAAATAGAATGATGGGGCGTTGACATTGGCATCCGATTTGCCGACAATCTTGCATGAGCCAATTCTGACATCTCATTTTGAATCTAAGCTAACCTATGTAGACT